GTTGGCCTGACATCCACTGTACTGTACATATTTAAGTTACTTAGCACATTTCATACAGTCAGTTTAAAAATACCAAGCTCAGTGTTCCCAACTGTTCATAAATAACTGTCCCTACATTTTAAAATAAAAGTAGCTAATTTCACCACAGATATTTTGAAAAGTCGCTACTTTGTCGCTACTCAATAGAACAAATTTTCAAATCGTCGAAAGGCTTTATTACAAAACAAATTTATTGATTCAATATAAGAAAAGTTGTACACATAATAGTTGTATTACTATTTATGTTAAATATAATTATAATATGTATATAACAAAACTAAAAAAACGAAAAAAATAATAGGTTTTAAAACAGACCTCAATCAGAGTCGCTTTTGTCTTCTGACAACTGTTTGCCAATGTCAGCCTCTCTTATTTTAAATGAGTACATAGTTTTATTGATTTTTTAAAAATGTTCTTGAGTAATTTTGTAATTAGTACAACACGAATTTGTATTGCGTAACTCAATTTTAATTCTTAATAATGCCGAAGTTAACTCCAAGACGATTTCTTTTTTTGGTTTTAATGTCAGCCCATATTGAAAATACACGTTCCATATCAACGTTTCCATGTGGAATAATTAAGGCAATTTGTGCCACTTGGACAATGTTTTTAAACAAATACTTGTCATTGAAATTCTTCATTTCCGCTATTTGGGTCCATAAATCACAAGTATTATCAGGGGCTTCATCAAATTTTAAATAAAATTTAATTTTTTTTATTCATTTTCAAGTGTGTCCTTAATGTCAATTTTCATAATTTCAGTAATTGATTTTAAATTGCATATTTTATCAGCATTAAAAATATTGTTTTTATTCAAAAAATCTAAATTTTTATTTAAAAAATGGTTTCCAATTAGAAGTCTTTTAAATGCTTCACTAACTGCTTTTTGGTAAAACTTTCATTTCAACTGGACATTTCAAAATAAATAATTCATTGTCAGTTTTATTTAAATCATTAATCAGTGCTCTTGTGGTTACTCCAACATTAATTTTTTCAATAGGCAATAGATTATGTGGATTATATATATTAAGAGTTTCGGGGATACTATAGATTAGAGGAGAAGGTGGTATTATGAAACCCCATTTTCATTATAGTGAATTGTAAACAAGGTATCATAACTACATCCACATGTTTTGTGCGAAAAGTACTGGTAACTGTTAAACTAAATATTCCTAATTGGATTTTTTGCTAGTGTAACTATGGTTTTTGAAGGCTTCTGCACAAAAAGTCAGAAAGTAGGCTTAGAGAAAATCGGGTGGTAATATGGAACTTTACTGTGTGTTATCAAAAAATGCTTTAATGTATCCAAAAACAAATAGGAAAGTACAAAGCAAGTTAAATAATTACAAAATCATTTACTCCAATGTATTTTATCGAAAAAATGCTTTTATAATAGAAAAATATGACCTCCATCAACAATATATATTCAAGCAGCTCTTTTTTGATATTCTCAGGAAGAATTGGCTTTCTACCTAGTGTCTTTTTCTCTTTTTCTTGTCTTCTTTTTCTCTTTTTCACAATTTGTCGAATTGGCTTTCTACCTAGTGTCTCTTTCACAATATGTGTCCTAAATTGGGATTTGTCGTATTAGTCCTAATAACTAATTAGTCCAAACTAGGACGAATGTCTGCTTGCAAAGAGACAGTTTGAAGGAGTTGGGTTCCATATTTCACGCATCTCCATCGTGGGTTAATTTAATTCCTGTCGACACCAAACTTTAAAAATGTAAACATCAGACAGATTAACATGTACCCCTAAGTCTCTGGAACGGAATACATGCACCAGTGAACCTACAACTACACAATTTATATTTTAGAAATAATTAAATTCACTTAGCATTCAAAACTTTCGAATTTTGAAAAAAACAAATTTGCTGATTAAAT